CGGAGGAATTCGGTCAGTTCGGCCTTCATAGGCCCCGACAGCCTGCTCCCAATTCGGAGTTGTTTTTGGCAAGTCTCTTCATCGATGAAGATGACTTCGACTTCATCCATCGGCTCGGCCCTCTTCGTTCCCCGTTTCTCCTCGTACTGTGTCCGAGGGTCGAGCTCGTCCTCCTCCGTGATCGGCCTTTTGCCGGCCTTTCTCCCCCTGTCCCCGTCGAGGTCGCCTTCGACTCCGTCCTCGACGGGGTCCGTCATCTCGGCGCCTGGGGCCAAGTTATCTGCCCCGGCGTTGGGCTCCGTGATTGTGGGGTCGGCACTCGATGAGGTCGGGGGGTGCGAACCTGTCTGGTTTCCCAGCATGCGGTTGCCCCCGTGACCGTCGTGCGCCGACTCGATGTCTGCCACCTCGGCGTCCTCCTGTAAGTTTGCCATATTTATTTCGGTGCGCGGGATGGTCAGGATGCATTCCCGCGCGTTCCTTTGGTCGCCTCGGTGGGTCCCCTCCCCATCGGGAGTTGGGAATTTGAGAGAATAATGGAAGATGGAGACGGCGGCCTTCAGTTTGTAGAGCGCCGTCCTGCCCAATATGGCGTTGTACTCACTTGGGCAGTCCACGATTTTGAAGGTTTCCAAGATCGTCTTCGCGGGCTGCCCCCTATCTCCGAACCGGACCGGTAGCGTGACCTGTCCAACCGGGGCGACGGTCTGGCCGTTGAAGCCCTGGATCCGCTCCCGGCAGGGTTGCACCTCCTTCCTATCGATCCCCATCTTCTTGAAGGTCTCGTAGTAGAGGATGCTGGCGTAGGCCCCGGTGTCGACCATGATTCGATGGATCTTTATCGCCATGATCGGCGCCGTGATCACTAGGGCGTCGGAGTGGGGATGGTCGAACAGGAAGGCGTCTTCATCGTTGAAGGTGATGGTGTTTGGGGTCGGCTCTGGCGCCGGCCTGCTGTGGGCATGCATTACCCTCTGCCCGGCATGATAGGCCTGTCGGGCGTAGGCCTTGGTTTGCCTCCTGGAGAGGAGGGACTCGCCCCGGCTGGTGTTGACGCGCCGGGTTGGGAGGTTTACCGGGTCGGTCCCGGTGCAAGGAGATCGGTCTCTTTTTCTGCCCCTGGAGGTGCCGGCCTCATCTTGATGGGTGGGGCAGAAGGTCATGATCTCGTGAGGGCCGCCCTGTTGCGGCTTCTTTCTTCGAGGATTTACGTCAGCATCCTCGTCGCTGTCCGGGCCTTCCTCGAAACGGCCCCCTTTCTTCCTCTTCTCTCCGGAGTGGGTGAATCTCCGGAGTTGTGGGTCGTCAATCAGCTTGAGCAGTGCCGAGATCAAGATTCGACACTGGTCGGTATTGTGTCCATGCGCCTTGTGGTAAGAGCAGTAGCGGGTTTTATCCACCTTGTCTTTGTCGGTGAACATCGGCTTAGGGTCCGGCAGTAGCCCCTTGGCCTTGATTTCCTCGTAGACTGCCGCGGCTCCCACCGAGAAGACGCCTTGGTAGCTTTCTCTCAGCTCCTCGGCCCTTTGCCTCCGCTGAGCCCGGATCTCCGCGAACGACTTGCTCGGCTTCCCCGATTTTTCTTCCTTCGCCTTCCCTTTCGCCTGTGCCGGTGCCGGCGTGGCGTCAAATGTCGGGATGGATGAGGACTCCTCCGCCATGATATAGTCTTGAGCGCGGGTTAGGAACTCCTGGTAGGTGGTTGGTTTGTTCTGACACAGGGACCACCTGAAAAATGTCTTCGGCCTGAGGCCGCCCTGGGCCGTAATGAGCAAGGCGTCGGGGTGGCACCGCTCCATGTTTTGGACCCGGTCATTAAACCGGGCAATGTAATCCTTTAGACTTTCGTTCTCGCCCTGCACAATGTTGGAGATGGATTCTTTGAGGGCGAGGTTGACCTGCGATCCGATGAAGTGGGATCGGAACGCCGACCTGAGCTGGGCCCAGGTTGAAATGGAGCGGGGATAAAGGGAATGGTACCACCTCTGTGCCTTGGGTCCTAGCGTTAGGGAGAACATACGACAGCGCAGGGCGTCGGAGGCGCCGTGTAGGTCCATCCATGAGGTGTAGAGGCCGAGGTGGGAATCGGGGTCTGAGCTCCCATCGTAGAGGCCGAGCTGGGGTATTTGTATTCCCTTCGGGACGGCTTCTTGCAGGATGTCGGGGGACAGAGGTGACGCGTTATCGGTGACTCGGGGAGTCGGCCGAATAGGAGGCCGGGGACAAGCGGGGAGTGAGAGCTCACTCCCTGAGGGGTGCCGACTCTCCAGTTCGGCGATTCGGCGTTTGAGGGCAGCTACCTCCTCGGTGTCGTGCCCGATTGTTTTTCCGCGCCTGATTACTTCTCGGAGGTCACGGTTGGTCTGACTCCTCTCACCCAGGCGCTGGTGGACGGATCGGCGAGCGACCTGAAGGCTTCGCCCCGAGCGACTCTCACCCGTCTGCTCTGTCGGCGCTGGCCTGGCGCTTTTATCGCGGCCGTGTGCCTCTCGGTTCGGCGATTGGGCCGTGGTCTTGGACTTCGCCGGATTTCTCTGCCCCCCGGTTTCTTTCTCGGGGGTATGGAGTAGGGTGTTACCGGCGTTCTCCATGGGCGGCACGGCGTTTGCCCCGGCAGCCTGGCTGGCTAGGGCTCGAGCGAAGACCCCCTCAAGGGCCTTAAGGACGTCGGGATGCTGCAAAGTTGCAGCGAGCGTAGGAACTGGGGAACAGGGACTATGGGCCCCTGCTGAACGCGAGGGGAGGACTCCCCGCCGTTGCGGCGGCGAGGCTGGGAGCCGGACTGCTGGGTGGAGTCGTCATGTCCGGATGAAGGCATTTTTAGTGGTTCTTAGAAATGAAAAGGTGAAAAAAGATGAGTGCGATGTGTGTAGCTTCACAAGATCGAAAAATTGACACCAAGTAACTTATGGTGCCCTTCCTCTAGCGCCAAACTGTTGACGGACGTTTCCGGTCAACGGTTAAAAAGTCAAGTAATGGAAAGAAAACGAAGAAAAAACAAAGAAATACGATTTAATCACGGTTTTATTAACGGGTCACGAGGTCGGCCTCTCGTACGAGGTCGGCACTTGTGATGTACTTATGTTGCTTACAAGGGTCTCTTACAAGTTTTTTAGAGAGAGAAAATATGAGCTCGAGTAGTTGGGATTCAACAACCCAAAAATAAATGAGGGGGTTGCTATTTATAGGAGACTTTAATGCGGCACTGTTTGGGTACTGTTCAACGATCTTGTCGCACAGTAGCTCAACGGGACAAGCCGGCGCTTCTCTGACTGATTGGGAGTGATTTCCGGATTCTCCAATCATTGCCTGCCATACATTTAATGCGAACGTGGGCTGCATTAAATGCGGACACGTTCTGGCTGAGCTGGACGTCCCATCGGCAATCATTCGTAGACAAGTGGCATTATTTTATTGTATTTGAGATCGAGTTTTTATCCGGGGCCGTCCTGATGAGACTTCTGACGGGGTGCCGACCTCATATCTTCACGTATGGGGTGCCGAGTTCGGGGTCTGTTCTTCCCGCCGTTCTGGACGACTTTGACTTTAAATCGGCTCGGCGCCCCTGCGCTACTCTGTTGACCGGCACCTTTGACTCGGCCGGTCATTGTTCGGTTATCAATATGTCGGACCGACCCCTCTTATTGGGGCCGGACTCGGATATTAACAGTTGGTTTTAAACAATGGATGCTAGTTATGGTTGTGATAATATAATATATTTGTTGTGTTTTGAGTGATATAATAAACTTTAATAAAAGAGGTGATTATGCTATGGACCATGTGAAACTATTATCTTTATCATATCACATTTGTTTTCATGCTCTTATATATTATTTTACTGTTGTATAAGATGTAAACTAGGAACAGATTTTGTTTTCTTTTTTAATATGCCCTGAAGATGTTGAAAGAAAAAGTTAGAAATAGATTAACGTTGCACACATATTTATAAAATTTGGATAATTGATTTTTAAATGTTCTCAATAAAAGTCTGAAAAAAATCCTTAATAGTATGAACAAAATTTTAGAAAATAAATGGTAAAAAGGCATAATGGCGGAAAAATACACGACTTTTACTTGATTGGCCATTTAATCACGACTTTCAAACCTTGGCAAATAAATACATGACCTTTACATTCTTGGCAACTTGATACACGGATTTAACGTCCGTCAACGGAAAGCTGACGTGGGTCTGACTCAGCAAACAGAAGCCAAATCATCAGTTAAACCTTGGCAGTTTAATACACCACCTTTGGTTTTTTGGCAACCCGATACACGAACTTACCCTTTTTTGGCAAAAAGCTGCCACATCATCATTTTATTTTATTTTTTATTTAAATTCATTAAATTTACTTTTATTATTTTTATTTATTTTAATTCTACTTTTATTATTCAAATTATGTTTACTATTTAAATATATAGTGATTAAAAACAAAAAATAAATAAATATATATAATTTTATTTAATTTTTAATTTATATATTTTATTTTATATATTCTACTTTCAATAGTAAAAGTACAATTAAAATAAAAAAAAATAATAAAAGTAAATTAAATTAATTTAACTGATGATTTGGCTTCTGTTTGCTGAGTCAATCCCACGTCAGCTTTCCGTTGACGGACGTTAAATCCGTGTATCAAGTTGCCAAGAATGTAAAGGTCATGTATTTATTTGCCAAGGTTTGAAAGTCGTGATTAAATGGCCAATCAAGTAAAGGTCGTGTATTTTTCCGCCATTATGCCTATTAAAAAATGCATTAAAAAGTTTGAAAAAATCCTTAAATGTACATAAAATGAAGCAACAGTTTACTATGTACAATAAATTGTAGCCACAATGTAGATAACCATGGTTATATTAAGATGCTAAAAATTGAGAAATAAAAAAGGGTCATTAGAAACAGACAAGATGATACAACATAGTATTCCTCAAAAAAGACAGAAGGAAAAAAATCTATGATTTCAAACAGTTTCTTGCATCATGATTCGTTTTCTGACGACACTTACTACATCTTCTCAAAGGCTTATTGCTTTTTTCAATTGCCTTTTCTTTCCTTGATTTCAATCGACTACCACTCCCTTTTGTTTTAACAGGAAGCAGTGGCAATACCTATACTTTTTGTGGAACAGAGCCTCCATAGTAATCCTCAAACAACTTTTTCTTGGACGTAGTTGCTGAAGATTGGTCCACACCAGAGGTAAAGATATGTCTCTGATTCTTAAGAGAATGTAGCAAACTTTTCATGAAATCATTATTTCCTTCAACTAACCCAATACAAGAATAGAACTCCGAGAATAATTGATTCATAATTGACTTCTGATCTTCAATCATAGCACACTGATCAATAATTTGACCATGAACTTCAAATATAGGCTTCAATGATGCATATTTTGTCCACTTAGGAACCAAATATATTTCTGGGATTGATTGGAGATTCAAATCTTTAAACACATAGAAAACATGGAAGCATAGTAATCCAACCCTCACAAATTTCTTGCAACTACAAGTTGCTGTGTTTGGTGATTTGTCATAAACAACTTCACATGCACTGTAAGTGACATCTTCGATTTCATAGAAACGATGATCAGGATCATCTACAAGAGTCAATATTCGGCATTCAAAGCATGCAGCTACAATATCGTTATGTATCTCCTCAAAAATCTTCAAAGTATACACAACCTCTCAAATAACAAGGGCGTCCTAAGCTGGGGAAGACACATTTCATCAACATTGTTCATCTTTTCCTGTGCATGCCTCTGCGCATCTAATGCACTCTCAAAATGCATGAAAAATTCAAGAAGATTAGAACGGAGACTAGTGTATCTTCAAAGAAAACTATTCTCACTCTCAGACATAGATGTCGTCTTGAATAAGCCACTCATCATGAAGTCCCTAAAAAAAGCAGGAATCCAAAACTGGCGAATTGCAAACAAAGACGTAAACCATGTATCTTCTCTCAAGTCATACTCATCAATAAGATCATTCTATTAAGCTTCAACTCTGATGGCCCATTAGATTCCGACCAAACTATATTATTCAACTTTTTCCTAAAGCCATCATCTTTTTTCAAATGACTTGGGACCTTATCAGGTACTTTAAGCATAATATGCCACATGCAAAGGCGATGTCTAGTTATGGAAGTACACGTTCAACAGCAATCTTAATTGCAGGGTCCTGATCTGTTACTATCATGCTAGGACTACGGCTCATTAATTCTTTAAATTTTTCAAACACCCAAATATATGATTCAACATCCTCCCCTGATAGCATGGCAGCAGCATATGTAACACATTTACTGTGGTTATCTTTGGCAGTGAATGGAGAAAATATCATGTTATACCTGCGCAAAAAAAAAATGTTTGTCAAAAGTTAGCAACATAATTAAAGTGAAAATAAAATAGTTGTGATTATATATGATGATAAGCATTATGTTATTTATAAGATATAAATAATTTCCTATTTGTAGAGTATATTGCGTCAAAAGATACAACATCACCGAAAAGAAGCATAGTTTTTCCTCGAAATAGGATCAGCCCAAAACAAACGCGTCAATTGATCATTCCCGTCCACAGCATAATCAATAAAGAAAGTCGAGCACAATTCCTTTTTACGGTACAATTTCTCTATCACCATTTGAGCATCGACACCAACAACGAATGCCTTTAAATCCCTCAAAAAGTTTTTGAAGTCAACACTGGTGCAACCCACATTTGAGTATCCCCTGACAGTCTCTTTAAACAATCTATAACACTTTGTTGGCCTTATATTCACTCGGGAACAATTAAGCAAAAACTTTTGATGTCCTATGTCCATATTCCTACTAACATTAAGAAAGTGCTTATACATTTCAGAACATAAAGAATGAGTATGTTGCTCTATAAACTTATCAACAATATATTTATCAAAGCTAACAAACTTAAAAATCACCCGAGCTTTGCAACTGACACGTTTAGACACTCTACGCCTTTTTTCCTTTGCACTGCCCAAGTCATCCGCATCTTCAGATAATGAATAATTCTTCACACCCTCTCTACTACACACACATATCTCCTAATGCAAACACCATTATTTGACTTTGACAATGTTGAACGTTGAATGTCAAATCCACATTCAACTGCATATTTCTTATAAAATTGAAGACCATCATCTAACGTCTTAAATTCTTGTCCAACAAAGGGCTTCAAATCATGATCGCATAAAGGGGTGTAATATTGAGTTGACCCAGGTGATATATCAACTCGAACATCTCGATTAATTTCGGTTATTCCTGAAAAATAGCCAAAAAAAAAAAATGTGCATAAACATTTATTTATTTATTTATTAAATAACACTATAGCCAATAATAAAAATAATGAAAACTGAGCAAAATAAACACCATAAAATAACACATGAAAGAACTATATATATAAATATCCTAGGTACGAAACCAACAAATATGAAATGTCCACTAAAAAATAACATTCAAAATCATGTAGAACAGGTATGTAATAAAACAAAATTGTAGTCAGAAAACATAAACTAAAATGCCAGGAAACTGAAACTAAAGAAGATGTTTTTTCAATAGTTCTAATCAATTGAATTGTCAATATTTTATATGAGACACAATTATGAAATTTTTTATACCTAAATCACATACAAAAAAAAAAGAAAGAAAAGAGAGAGAAAGGACGTACTTGGTGATTCCATGTCGCCTAGGGCTATGCGTTATGTGGGCCCTTATCCGTTCGATATAGCTTGCTACGGGGTCGGCTTCTCGCTTATCCCTTGAAATGAGGAGATCCAACGTCAAGTGCAGGAATTGCTGTCGAAGGGGCGGGAGAGTCTCAGACCGTGTTCAACGCTTGCTTGAAAGGAGATAACATTATTTATTTATTTTATTAATTTATTTAATTAGTCCACTAAGCCCTTGTTTGTTTGGAAGGATGGGATTGGACTATTTTAGTGCAAGTGTGAGGGATTACACTGTTGGGATAAATTTAGTGGTGTGTTTGTTATGTGTGATAAGGTGTAGGATAGCTTTTTAGATTTTCTTTTAAAAAAAATCATTTAATTCAGCATAAATCAGCTTTAGGTTGTAATGTACTATTTTACCCTTTATATCAGGTTCAATTGTGTATATTTTTATTCCCAATGTTCTCACAATTTGAGGGAGCAAACGAAACGAGGACAACGGGCTTATTTCCTCTATTTCCTGTTCATAGACCCTATTTGAAGGATGCGCAGCGAAGACGGGAAGATCTCGTTACATTTTCCTTCCCCAAATCGATCACCACTGACGACCACCTTTTGTCTGCTGGTTGTTTACCGTCGTTCGGCAACAAGCTTAGAAGACGATTGTTGGGCCGGCGTCGTCTATTCCAAAGCATTCATAATGGTACAAATGACCGGCGACGGCGACGAGGTAAATTTGCCGAGTACGAGAATCAATGACCATGGATCCATATTTTATTAACTCTGCAAATCTATTTTGTGGGAATTAGGGTTTTTTGCATTCTTTTATCTGCTATGTTGGGGCCTGGCAGATAGAATTTGGCATCGATTTTAATATGATTTTTGATGGGATTGTTTTGATTGAGATGAAAAATCAAATTATATTTTTTATTGAGCATTGTGATAGTTGAAGTGGTACAAAATCGTACTGAAATTGATATGTGGTACTGGCAGAGATTTTATTTTTCTGTTGCATTCCAATGTGTAAGGTGATTATTGAAGGTAAGGTTGTAATTAGTGGATTTAGGAAGATCAAAAGAGTCCCAACTTAAAAAAACGGAGGGTAGAACCGACATTTCACTCTTTGGGATTAAATGAATCCGGCCAATTTGGTGGGATGGAGTTATCCCAATTTAGTGGGATAAAATGCTTTTTCATCCCGGGCTGACCACTTATACCGGGCCTGAATCCCACAAAACAAACGTGGGATAAGTGTAGGATAAGCTAGGATATCCTGGTCTATCCCACAAAACAAACACGCACTAAGTACTTCATTAACTGACAAAAAATTGTACTGACTTAATCACCCTTTGCGGTTGTTTCCTACTTATCCTAATGATAGGAGTTTCTTATCTCAACCATCCATTTGACAATAATGAATGATCAAGATCTCTTCTTATTTCTCACATTAAGATGGTCTTCTCATAAGAACCTTTTCCTATATATATATATATAGGGGCTGGTTCAAATAAAAACTATGTCTGGTGTGAGAACCGTGAGAACCATATTTGATGCTATTTTTAATTGTGTATGATGCTATTTTTAATATTACATGGTGCTATCATTTTCATAAATGCTAATAAAAATTTTGTTGCTATTTTTAATCAAATACATCCTAGTTAAAAATAGCACTAAAACACAATTAATCATAGCACTACATACAATTAAAAATAGCGGTTCTCACGGTTCTCACACTAGGACTTGGTTCTCATTTGAACCACATCCTATATCTATATATATATATATATAGAAGTGCGCTCAAATGAGAATGAAGCACAATGAAAGAAATAAGAATGATTCTGTACCGTTGGATCCATTCCATCAATGATCATAATTAGGTCAAACTTTAATAGATAATGGTCAATTATTAATGGCATTATAGTAAATAAGTTGTATAACTATGGTCCAATATACAGATTTACCAACTAAATAAGGACAAAAAAGTAATTATTCATATCCCATGTGGGTCCCACCACCAATCACCAAACTTCTCTCTCTGAACCACCCTCGCACACATGCCTCATCCTCACGTTCTGTTCACCGCCTATCACCTCCGACTGCCGCGCCGCCGCCCGCTGCAGCATTCCGACTCCCTCTCTCACCATCTCACGGCCCTTCTCGCACGACGTCACTCTCTCCGACACACAAACTGGTGTCCTCCGCACGCGCCGTCGCTTCGCACCTTCACAGCACCGACCCATCGCCGGACCACCCGAAGCATACATCGACCTCCGTCGTACCCCCACCAGACCACCATGTGCACCGTACGCCGTTCGTCGAGATGAGCCACGCCGATGTCTCAGCCCGTCACTGCCATTAGCTGGACATCGCCGACTACTCCGACGCAGCCCCCGTTCTCCACACCTAGCGAGAGTTATTGATCCTCCGGGTTGTAGTTGCAGGAAAAAGGCCTCGCCGTATGCAGCATCGGAGGGCCACGGTAGTCGCCGGCGGTGGACAGGACTTGCAGGAGACGGGAATTCTAGTTGCACGTATTTCATATCTGAAATTAAGGGGCTTCATTTTTGTGAATTTGATAATTCCTGGGGATCTTATTGCAATTTTTGAATTTTGGTTATATTACAATTTAGTTCATGGGTCAAATTTATAATTCATCAAAATATAATTAGTATTTCAATATTGATTATTTAATATTTAAAAATAGATAATATATCAAATAAAAATTAAAAAAAAATATGATACTAATATTTTTTATACAAGTTTGACGTCCCATTATGTCGGTGATGTAATTTTGTTTTTTTTTTAAAAATGCCATCGAAACGAAATAACCGAGTTTTTAAAAGTAATGCAATACAATTGAACCAAAACTTAAAATTTCGAATTGAAAAAAGTAGTTCGTGTGATTTCGTTATATATTATGCAATCTAATAGTCAGTAAGGTATAATTCAGACAACTATATTGTGCACCCGTTATACATAAAAAAAATTAAAATAATAAAAAATAATATTTTTCATATGATTCGGTTATTTAAAAAAAAAACATAAAGAAGGCATTGAACTGAAACATCCGTGATTTAATAATAAAATACGGATAATCGAATCAAAATTTAAAATTTCGAACCGAGAATTTAAGAGTGGACAGTTTTTGTCTTTGTGCATTCTGATAGTCATGAATGTGCAACTCGTCTATCATTATTGTGAAATGATTCGATTCATACCAAATTAAAATTGATCTGAAATAATCGGTTTATTCAATCGATTAAACGAACTAATCAAAATAATATAGAAAATTTACTATTTATAATATTAAAATCTTTTCAGTATTTTAATATTTTTTATTTAATATTTTTATGTTACTTTTGGTTTAAAAGACATTATATATAAATATTGAATCAATATTGTGCAATACCAAATACAATAATCTGCATCTCGTCTAACATTATAGTGCAATCCATCGATCTACTATTTTTTTTTTTTTGTTCGCATTTCATTGTTTAAAAACTTTGATAATGAGTATTTAATAACATTATTTTGTAAGTATAAATTTATTTCCATAGTAAAAATATATCAGTATTTATAGTTTTTTATTTAATATTTTATATTATTTACATTATAAAAGTCTATTTAGTACTAATGTATGAAATATACATAAAAGTTGTATCCGAGTAACGTCAATATTCTGATTTTATATTTTTGCCAATTTACACACTACCGTTATAAGATTGGCGCCGAATTTTATAATAATTTATATTTTTTTTATTGGTGTAAATAACTAAAGTTTTAAAAGTAAAAACAAACAAGCATACTTAAATATCAAAAAATCCAAACAATGCATTCTGAGTGTTATTAACGTGCAACTGCTCTAACCATATTGTGCATTGTTTCAGTTGATATTGTGCAATATGAATCCGTCGAATTTTTTATCTTAAAACTAAATTAAAATTAAATTTAATTAATTTTCTTATTGGATTGATTAACTAGAATAAAATATTATTTACAACTTCAAAACAATATTTTTAGTCTAAAAAATTATATTAAACGCGTGTTTGGTTGGCGTCGATATTTTGAATAAATGTTCAGTATATACACAATATTGTTAATTGGTTGGCATGGATATCTTGGTATAAATTATGTTTTTTATTTAATACCTAATATTTTTTGTTTCTTTTCGGTTGAAGTAACTGGTTTTTTAAAAATAACAAAAAAAATAATCAAATTGAAATATAATTACTTGAATCATTATTTCTATGTTAGATGTTGTTGTGCAATCTGACAGTTATTAATGTGCAATCTGTCTAACTATATTGTGCATTGATCTGGTGCTATTGTGCAGTATGAACCGGTCGATCTTTTGTCTGTTAAATTGCAGATTTTAACACTAATTTAATAACATTATTTTTAGTTTTTTTAAAATTGCAGATAAGTCCCTGCAATGTATCTAATTCTCACTAAAAAACCTAATCCCCAAAATGCTGTTTAATCATTTTCCACCAACACGCAACATCCATTCCTCCACCCATCACACCACCACGCGCCGCCATATAGGATCGTCCATTGACGGAGGCGCTCAATACCGGAGCCAATTCGCATATGTGGAAGTTTAGCGACGGATTGGGGGGACCACAGGAACCTTCCACCCAACCCGGCCATCGCCGATAATATCAACGCAGAGGCTAGTAGTACTGATGGATATATCAACGCAGAGGCTCGCCGGTATCTTTCTTGAAGCAGCAACCGGCGAACATTGGTGAGGGCAGGCGGGGCTGTAGGAAGTGGACGGCGGTGGGCAGGTGCGGCTGCGCGGTGCTATCGGAGACGGCGGACGGGCTGTTGTAAGTGGACGACGGCGGGCAGAGGAGCGTATGTGGAGGCTCGGCGACGGCGGCGGAATGGCTGGGAGACGTCGGCAGGCAGATAGACGTGTGTGGAGGCGATGCGGCGCTGCATCTTCGGCGGCGGTGGGATGGATGGGAGAAGTGAACGTCGAAAGGCAGATGGACTTTTCTGGCGGCACGGCGGCGCGGCGGCTGCGGCCAGATTGCTGGTGGAAGAGGGACGAGGGGGCAACACAGTTTATGTGCGTTTATGTGTGTGTGTGAGAGGGGTGTGTGTGTGTGTGAGAGAGAGATGGAGAGATAAAGAGAGAGAGTGATTCAGTTTATTTTTTTTTATGGTGGTGGGGCCCGTCTGTTGATGTGTGGAGTGATGGGGCAATGTATAATTTTGACTTTTTTTAATCTTTAGATCTTATAATTCGTTGGAGCTCATTCCTATATATATATATATGTATAGAGGGCGAATTAAATGTAGTCAGCTCTTAAAATGCAGACAGCTCTTAGCAACTACAGACAACTAACCTAGCAACTAGTAACCTAGCAACTACAGAAAAATAATCCAGCAACTACAGAAAACTAATCTAGCAACTACTAACCTAGCAACTACAGCGAACTAACCTAACAACTACAGAGAACTAACCTAGCAACTACAGACAACTAACCTAGCAACTACAGAGAACTAGTCTAGCAACTACATATAACTAACCTAGCAACTACATAGGACGAAGAGGGTTGAGCGCAGTGGCGCATACCTCGCTCGGCGTATCCCACATCCCGAGTTCGAGTCACCTAGAGGGAAATTGGGGAACCAGTATTAATCCTCCTTTTAAACCTAGCAACTACATAAAACTAACCTAGTTAGAAGGTTAGTTGTCAACGGTCAATGCCGGAGTCAACGCCGGAAGTCAACGATCAACGCCGGAAGTCAATGGTCAGCGTCAGAGTCAACGGGTCAAAATAATATTTAAATAATTAAAATAATAAAAAGAAAAGAGTAAATCTTGGCCACACATGATGTACCAAATCTTATGGCTAAAAATGAGTCTCACGTCCTCACTTTAAATAAGTGAACGCATTGGAACCAATCCCTATATATATATATGTATGTATCTTTCATTACCATAAATTTATTGTCTCCGATAAATTTGTTATTAATCAACATCCTATATATAAATCTCTCTTTCATTACCATAAATTTGTTACCTGCTTGAATTGTTTATATACTGCGAGTGTTCACACTAGGGGCGGTACCGTAATTACTTGGTTTGTTGCGTTCACACTTGAAGAGTTGGTTTATTACGGTACCGCCCCCAGTGTGAACACTCGCAGTATATAAACAACCTCGTAC